TGGTTGCTATGTTACCGTCGCCCCAGAATTCCGCACCATGGATATAGCTCTGGCGCAGCACGTGGATCAGAACAGTCTCGCGGCAAGCATGCACATCTTCAGCAAGAGATCTACGCTTCGCTTTCCGATCAGTTCTGACCCTCATGCCCCATCGCTCCCTGGAGAGGAGGCATGCAACAGCGTTCAGGAGCGCGTAGAGCTTCCGGACGTCGGTAGCATGGGAGAAGACAATCTCCCACTGCCCCCGCCTGACACGGTCATGGACACAGTCAGGCCACAAGAACGGAATCTCGAGCATGGCACAATATTCACGTTCAACACATCACGTTTTACCCCTATCGAACAGAGCAGAGCACGACAGGTTCGCACTTGACGCAGTGTGCAGACGCCGCGTGACCAAGTACTCAATGGCCATCCTCCGGCAGTTTTCTGCCGTGATGCGTGGGGAGCGTGGCAGGCGCATTCTGGCCAGCACCCACTCACGAGCTGCCACGCGTCCTTTCAGACCGTCATAGCAGCCGTCGGCATCGTAGAACTGCTCAACGAGATGCAGCTATTCAATTGCGTGCTCCTTCTGGCGGGGGATCAGCATCATCTCGTAATCAACGACCTGGTGGGGTTCTACTATAGTCTCGACATGAGGCAGCGTCCCGGATCCGGCCCTCTGCCCTCTGACCACAGCTGCTTGATTATCTTCACATGCGTTCAAAAAGTGAGGACATTGTATGCGACCATTGCCAAAGTTGCAGACGATCTGCTCCTCGTGGCCAGTAATGGTGGAGTGGTGAAAAGCACACTCTGGATGATCGCTTCCCAGAGGGGTTTTCCAGTAGGGCCAGATCCCGACGAGGATGATGCTCCGGTCGTAGCCTTCGTCGCTTCCTTCGCGGTCGGTGCCGCTGGTTTGCGAGACTTTGCTGTCAACAGCATGGCCGTCCCTTTTTCGACTGCCTTTATCACATTCTTCATGTTGTCATCGATGGGCAAGGTCTCCATGGGAGACCCTGCTTCCAATTCCATTCCGTCAATGTCAGCCCTGTCGTCATACGGTACTGTAGTGTAACGTCGGTCTGCCCACGCCTGCCTGCAGTCATGGTGTTCCACCAGCCATGGTGAGAAGTCTTTCGAATTGATATTGACGGACTCAGGCGGCACGTACTGCGGCGCTCCAATATCACCGAATGGTAGCAATTCCCCCACCTGACATGGTGGCCGCCGGTGGATATGACATGACTCATCATCGGACCCTTCGCGCCTGGTGGCAGGGGTACCGAAGTCGACGCCTTCGGCGGGGGAGCAGTCGGTGGCGGAGGAGGAATGGTAGACGATGCGGCACCATATGGGGCGATGCGCCACGTCGAACATGGGGCAGCACAGCTCGTAGCACACCTTCGCCGCGTTGACTATGTACCTGGCGAAGTCTACGAAAGACATGTAGTTTTCTCCTCCCGGGAGGAAATGCCAGTTGTCGCCCTCCGGGTGCTCTCCTGGGCGCGCTGCCCACGGGCTTCGTCGCCCCATGGGCGGACCCGCCTCGCGGCCACATGCGGCCCCCCGCCCATCTCGGCGCATCCCTCGCGCTTCGCGGCACTATGAATGAGCTCCACCTAAGGCGCCGGCGGGCGCAGCCACGCGCGACGCCCCGCCCATTTTGGCGCGCCACACCCGCGCGCTCCGTTGTTTTTTCGAAGTAGCGCAACCCGCGGCCCCAGCGGGCGCGGCCACGCGCGGCCCCTGGCGCAATTCGGCGCGCACCCAGAGCACGGGGCGTTCCCATAGGAGGCCCGCCGAAGACGACACGGGGCCCAGCGAAACTCCATGGGGCCCAATGGGACGCGCATTCCACTGGGGCTCACAGCAGCCGAACATAAACACATGCAGCCCAAATGGCGGCAAGTGAGATCACACCGAACACAAAGGACATCCACACCCACACCCACGAGGTGCCGAGTGGAACAATCCAGGGCCGCATGACAACTCGAGATAAGGTTGGCGTTTTAGGGCTAGGGCCCCAGGGTTGGAGCAATAGGCTAAGGTCAGGGGATTCGCGTGGTTGGGTTGGCGTTAGGGTCTCAGGACTGGGCGGTGCTACGATTCTGGTTCGAGTCCCTAGCGCAGGTGCTTAGGTGTGTGTGTGTGTGTGCGTGTGTGTGTGTGTGTGTGTGTGTGCGCGCGCGCTTAGGGCTAGGGTGCTACAAGTGGGGCTGCAATCTCACGGCGCCATCTCCATCCAGTTTCTTCACTGCAGGGTTCTGTGTGAAGAGTAACCTGTTTGTGGCCTCAGCCAGAAACGCAGGAGCTCATGCAGCTGTGAAATTGTCTGCCTCACCGCGGCCAGACTTTTTGGCATGAAACATAGCACGTTACGTTCCATTGCCGTTTGTACTCCGTTTGCACTCTCACACATCAAAGGGAACCCCTTTTGAGCTATCAGCAGATTCGCAGTTATCAGATGTGTTCCAGTCCAAGACTGGGGTGTCACTGATTTCTCATTGCTGTGTTTGACCGGTCGCTCGACGCGACCAGTCCATATTGCTCGACTTCGCAAAGCTGACGTGCGAGGGTCAAGCAGACTCAGCATCATCATTGACAAAACAGGCCTCCGAGGGAGCCGCCGAGACCGCCAGCAAGCCTCGAAGAGCCCCCCAAAGCTCCCAAGGGGCCCCAATAGACCCCCAACAGGCCCCCGGAGGCCCCAGAGAGGCCCCCAAGAGGTCCCAGGAAACCCTGAATTTACCCTCAAGAGGCATCCCGAAAAAAAACAGGAGGCATCCAACACGCCCCTGACCCACCACCCAGGCACGGTGGCGGGATGCACTGACGGAGCTTCGGTGGGGGCGTGCTCCGTTGAGCATTGTCCTGCAGCTACCCTGCCACTGCGACTCCCTCCAGCGAGGTTCACACGACAGTTCAGGAAACGACTGCCACACCCACCACCTGCTCAGCTCCCGCGAGGACGAATGCAAGCGCCAGCGATGGTACAGTATGGGCTGAAGGAATGAGCGAAGCGATTCAAAAATGTGGTGGGGCGGACGAGGCGGACTCCTGAGAGCGATTCTTGGAAGGGTTCAGGAGCCCTGCGGGGGAAACTTCACGGACGGCGGGAACGTTTCCGATGAGCTCTTTGCCCTTTCAGAAGGCGCCCCTCCTCGCCGCGACCCCTTGGGCAGGCCGCCGACGCATAGACCCTCTCAGACCTGCATGCATCTTCTCCCCTCCCCCGTTCCCCCCATGAAAGGGAAAACAAACACACAGACAAGAAGAGGACACACATCCGCGGGCCGCCGACAGTGCTCCCTGCTTCTATCCCAAGTCTTGGAAACCCACGGCGTCGGCCGAATGAAACCTTAACTGTCTGGGACTGGCGGGCCGTTAATCGCCCGCGGCCCGCCCCGCGACCCACCCGCGACCCAACCGCGACCCACCCGCGACCCACCCGCGACCCACCCGCGACCCACCCCGCTACTCACCCGCGACCCACCTTCGACCCAAACCACGTTCAATGTACAAACCACCAGTTTGGGCGCTTGCGGCGGGTTTTTTTGCATCCTTTCCAGGTGCAGAGCCCTCGGCCCACCCGCCCCGCGACCAACCCGCGACCCAAACCACGTTCAGGGCACAAACCTTGTTTAGGCGCCTGCGGCGGGCAACTTTTGCATTCGTTCCAGGTGGAGAGCCCGCGGCCCACCCGCGACCATGTTCAGGGTACAAACCAAATGTTTCGGCGCCTGCGGCGGGCTGCTTTTGCATTCCTTCCAGGTGGAGGTGGAGAGCCCGCGACCCACCCGCGACCCAAACCACGTTCACTGAACAAACCAATGCCGCACAAGCGCGGCCGCGGATTTTTGCATGCCGTCTGAATCCGCAACGACCTCTTCAAGCCCCGCGCATCCACGCCAGCCCGTCCAGCAACTTTGCCCTTGCGAGTTGCCTTGATCAGAGAAGTCGGGGAGCAGAAAGTGGAAAAAAAAATTGCGTTGCCGTTTTCTTGGGAAAGGAGGGGGAGGCAGGAGGAGTAAACAGGGGACGAGGAGGACGCGGAAGAAGAGAGGATGTAAGGAGAATGTGGAGAAAGAGGAGGAGGAGGAGGAGGAGGAGGAGGAGGAGGAGGAGGAGGAGCAGGAGGACGAGGAGGGGGAGGAGGGGGAGGAGGGGAAGGAGGAGGACGAGGAGGGGAAGGAGGGGGAGGAGGGGAGGATAATGATGATGGACGACAGATGGACGACAATGGGAGGACGATGATGGAGGCCGATGAAGGGGGAGGACGACAATGGGAGGACGATGATGAAAGGACGAGGGGGGGAGAGGGAGGACGAGGAAGAAGAGGAGGAGGAGGACGATGACGATGAGGACGAGGACGAGAAGGAGGAGGAGGAGAGCGCCATCGACAGGGAAGGTGGGGGCCACGAGGTCCGCCGGCTCGACGACGCCCGCGTCGCCCGTGCCCGCCCCCTCACTCTTATCCGCAACTGCGGGGTGCTACGTATGTTATATTATGGTGTGTCGCCGTATGTTATACCACGTTCTGATATGATGTGTTATGTGATGCTATGTCATGCTCGGTGTTGTCATGATATTGCTATGTTATGCTCGTCGTGTTATGGCGTTCTCGTGTGATGTTATGCTAGTTTCTGGTGAGTCATGTTGTGTTATGGCGTGCTCGCCGCTAAGCTTTGCTGCCGTCTTATGAAATAAGTTGTGACGCTATGTCATGATATGATATGTTTTATCAACCTGAGTTTTGTGTCATGCTCGGCAATGTTACATTATGTTGTGCTATGTCGATTCTGTTCTGTTGTGTTTGTCGAGGGCGCGCGGCGGGATACCCGGGACACTCGGGACGAGGGGATCGGGCGGCCGCGGTATGCTGGGTGGGAGTGGCCGGGAGGTCTGTTCTTGAAATCTAACGACCCAAACCTGTCCTGTAGGGAACAAGGAACAAGCCTCAGGGCCCGCTTCCCTCCGGACTCGGTTGCTTCATGGCGGAGGCCGCGGGGGTCCTCCACATCCTGCCACCACTGCCCGCCCAGCAGGGGCCGTGGCGGCGGCGACAGCGCGGGGCGCAGCCTGCCGCGCGGGCGGGGGAGGGGGGGGGGGGCGGGAGGCAGGCGTCGATTTCGGCGGCGCACGGCGCTCCGGAGGGAGAATAAATGGGAATGGGACGCGGACGCAGGAGGACCTACTGGCGCTGTGCGGCCCCACTGGAAGCGTCCGTTCAAGACGAGCATCTAGCGCGGAGCTATTGCAGCATGTCGTTACCAGGGCGGTATGGCCAGGAAGCGCCCACCTCCGAGCATATACGAGAACATGTCTGAGAGCGCGCTTCGCCCCTGCGGGGCCGACGCACACGTAGTTTGAGCATGTGTGGGTGATACTGAGGAGACAGAGTGCTTATGTGCACTATGTGTGAGAGCGAGATCAAGACAGATTCCGCCCGATTGTCGGCGATGACTACTTCAGCCTGTTAGCGCCTATTAGAGCCTACTGGCGCCTATTAGCGCATACTTGCACCTTTAAGTGTCTATCTAGCGTATATTGGCGACCACTGCTAAGCCACAGTCCACGTGAGTAGCCGTGGGCCGTGGAAGACAACAACTCACGCCTAAAATGACTCTCGCACAAAACACTCCCACAGCGTACCCATGACGTCCTCTCCTCCTCCTCCTCCTCCTCCTCCTGCTCCTCCTCCTCCTGCTGCTCTTGCTCCTCAGTCGCGAATGCCTTCGCGCAGACACCCAATCGACGCGCGCGCGTTGGAGGTATGCTGCGGCAAACCTCGCTACACGAAGCCAACCCCCTGGCCCGGATGGCCCACACAAGAAGACTGACAGGGAACATACCGGGAGCAAACCGAGACTCACGAGACTCACAGATGGACCAAATCCGGGATCCACATCAGTCATATCGAAAAGCCTGGAGGTTGGATAGGGATGCATGGAACGAACGGCCAAGCCGCTCGGTGCCTCCTGTGGGCGCCGGGGCAACGATGCTGTCGAAGTACGTAGCACCCCGCAGTTGCGGATAAGAGTGAGGGGGCGGGCACGGGCGACGCGGGCGTCGTCGAGCCGGCGGACCTCGTGGCCCCCACCTTCCCTGTCGATGGCGCTCTCCTCCTCCTCCTCCTCCTCCTCCTCGTCCTCGTCCTCCTCGTCCTCGTCCTCGTCCTCATCGTCATCGTCCTCCTCCTCCTCCTCTTCCTCGTCCTCCCTCTCCCCCCCTCGTCCTTTCATCATCGTCCTCCCATTGTCGTCCTCCCCCTCATCGGCCTCCATTATCGTCCTCCCATTGTCGTCCATCATCATTATCCTCCCCTCCCCCCCCTCCTTCCCCTCCTCGTCCTCCTCCTTCCCCTCCTCCCCCTCCTCCCCCTCCTCGTCCTCCTGCTCCTCCTCCTCCTCTTTCTCCACATTCTCCTTACATCCTCTCTTCTTCCGCGTCCTCCTCGTCCCCTGTTTACTCATCCTGCCTCCCCCTCCTTTCCCAAGAAAACGGCAACGCAATCCTTTTTTCCACTTTCTGCTTCCCGACTTCTCTGATCAAGGCAACTCGCAAGGGCAAAGTTGCTGGACGGGCTGGCGTGGATGCGCGGGGCTTGAAGAGGTCGTTGCGGATTCAGACGGCATGCAAAAATCCGCGGCCGCGCTTGTGCGGCATTGGTTTGTTCAGTGAACGTGGCTTGGGTCGCGGGTGGGTCGCGGGCTCTACACCTCCACCTGGAAGGAATGCAAAAGCAGCCCGCCGCAGGCGCCGAAAAATTTGGTTTGTACCCTGAACATGGTCGCGGGTGGGCCGCGGGCTCTCCACCTGGAACGAATGCAAAAGTTGCCCGCCGCAGGCGCCTAAAAAAGGTTTGTGCCCTGAACGTGGTTTGGGTCGCGGGTTGGTCGCGGGTGGGCCGAGGGCTCTGCACCTGGAAGGGATGCAAAAAAGCCCGCCGCAAGCGCCGAAAATGGTGGTTTGTACCTTGAACGTGGTTTGGGTCGAAGGTGGGTCGCGGGTGAGTAGCGGGGTGGGTCGCGGGTGGGTCGCGGGTGGGTCGCGGGTGGGTCGCGGTTGGGTCGCGGGTGGGTCGCGGGGCGGGCCGCGGGCGGTCGCGGGGTGGGTCGCGGGGTGGGTCGCGGGTGGGTCGGGGTGGGTCGTGGGGTGGGTCGCGGGGGGTCGCGGGGGTCGCGGTGGGTCGCGGGTGGGTCGCGGGTGGGTCGCGGGTGGGTCGCGGGTGGGTCGCGGGGTGGGTCGCGGGTGGGTCGCGGGTGGGTCGCGGGCGGGTCGCGGGGTGGGTCGCGGGGTGGGTCGCGGGGCGGGTTGCGGGTGGGACGACGACAACAAACAACAACAACAACAACAACAACAACAACAACAACAACAACAACAAACAACAACAACAACAACAACAACAACAACAACAACAACAACAACAACAACAACAACAACAACAACAACAATCATTTTACCCGAACGCTCAGTGTTCTCCCCAGTGCCAGGGTTTTCTTGCGACACCAGCCAATACCCCCACTTCGTGGGGGGGCCGTTCAAGCTCTACCAAATATCCAAACGACTCTTCGAGACCACCCACACCCAGCTTCCCGCCCTATGACGTTGGGACACTTCACTTCGTGGCGTGCGGACGACCCTGGCTACTACACTGGCGTGGGGTACACACCCACAGAGGTTGATCACATCTGTTACATATGATGTGGTACACGGTACACGTGAGATGGTACGCAGTGCCAAGATAGTTGGTCACATTTTTGGGGCAAATTCGTGGGGATGCGATTACAGAAGTACATGTGTTACACTGATGTTATACAGTCCCAAGGATGACGCATGCATTGCTCATAGACTCATGGCGCTATGATCCTAACTCTCAGTGCCCAACGCGCGCGTGCACAGCCAGACGGAGGGAGAGAAACACATGTATACAAGGTTCGTGACATACGCACGGTCCACCATGTTGTAAACGATCGCATGCACGGTAAGTTCTGAAATTATACGTATGTACAAGCAGACATGCGAGGGAGAAAGGGAGATGGCCATCGACAGTTCCAATACGGCTCCAAGGCGGAAGAGGGGGAGGAGGAGCAGGACAAGGAGGAAAGGAGAGAAGCGAGAAAGGAAGAACGCAGACGGCGCGGCTCTGGACACAAAGGGGTGCCATACTTTCTCCTGCTTTCGCAAACAGGTCCAGTCACACGTAGGGGTATACTCAACCGAATGGTCTTCGCATCCAGAAGCATACTAAAGGCGCGACGCATCGTCGTCTGCGATGGCGCGGAGCGGGCGCGTGGGTGCCCGGCTGCCTGGCTGATACACGTGCGGGCCTGGCTGATACCCGTGCGGTCCCAGATGCCCAATGAGATTGCCGGTGCGCCTGCTGGCGGGAAGGCCGGTGCTTGCATACGGCAGTGCTACCGCGAGCACGTTGTGGACCTGCGGTGGCAAGGCCTGGTAATCGAGCATGCTCGGAAGCTCGTCGCTCTGACCATACGACCGCCATACGGGCAACCACCACCACTGGTCTTGACGCGGATACGTGATCTCTGTGCCGACCTCAGGGGATACGTTCCAAAGGGCCACCTTGGAGCCTCTCTGGAACCTCTTGGGGGCCTCTTGGAGTCCTCTTGAAGCCTCTTGGGACCATCTTGGGCGCCTCTTTGGGCCTCATGGACGCCTCTTGGGGCCATCTTGCGCGCCTGTTGGGGCCATCTTGGGTTTTAAAGATTCATCAAGAGACCGCGAATGGATTTCGAGATTTTTCGGATGAGAAAGTAGTGCGTTTTCATATGTTTTCTGAACATCGCATCTTGAAATTATTGAAAACCCATTGTGTTTGGCAGGATTTCGACATGCGCGCGCGGCGGCCGCGCGCATGTGCACTTCGTCTCATTTTTTGCAAGGGATGGTGGCCCTCGCAGGCGCGCAACCGTTGTTGGAGAAGTTCAAAGCACCTGAAGAAGTAGCACGCAAAGACCCTTTTGACAGAAATGTTTAAAAAGTGGTGTGTTTCCTATGAATCCGCAAGAGCGCGCGGAAGGACATTTTGACAATTTTTTCTTAAAAAACCATTGGGTTTTTGATGTTTTTATGTTAAAATCGTTACGAAACCTAAGGTTTTGGAAGGATTTCGTCTTGCGAGCGCGAATGTCCACTTTACCTTATTTTTTGCAAGGGATTCTTGAAATTTGATCAACTAAGAACAAGAATTTTCATTTTCTATTGTTTTTTGCAAGGGAAAACGAGCGTCAACAAAAAACCGGATCCGGGGGTAATCCACTTTTCTGAAGCTTTCGCAGAAAAATGATGAAAATGTAGCTGCGGCCTAGGTTTTGGGCGGGGGGCGTGCACCAGGGGGTCCAACAATAATAATTCTTTAGAAGTAATAGTGTTCAACAACAACAACAATCATTTTACCCGAACGCGCGGTGTTCTCCCCAGTGCCAGGGTTTTCATACGACACCAGGCAATACCCCCACTTCGTGGGGGGGCATTACAAGCTCTACCAAATATCCAAACGACTCTTCGCGACCACCCAAACCCAGCTTCCCGCCCTATGACGTTGGGACACTTCACTTCGTGGCGTGCGGACGACCGTGGCTACTACACTGGCGTGGGGTACACACCCACAGAACTTGGTCACTTATTCGGGGCGCGCATGTGCAACCTATGGCGCAACCAGTAGGGGGACGTTTTATTCTCGGCGGCCGAGGGCGCAACCTATGGCGCAACCAATAGGAGGGCGTTTTATTCTCGGCGGCCGAGGGCGCAACCTATGGCGCAACCGCAAGGGATTATGGCCCCTGGCAGGCGCGCGAACCCCGTTGCAAGAGCGTGCGAAAGTAGCTCGCGCGAGCTCATGTAACATAAATGTTGGGAAACCATTGTTTTTTTTAGGATTCGGACAGCGCGCGCGGGTGGAAATTTTGAAAAGTCGTGCAGCTGTTTTTCGAGGACCTACGGTGCGATTCGTGTGATTTTATGATGCGCGGTGCTAAAATTCTTAAGAACCCAATGGTTTTTGGAGATTTCGGCGTGCGCGCGCGAAGAAAAAACGAATGTGTCCCGCATGGTATTATTTGACAGGGATGATGGCCCTGGCAGGTGCGCAACCGTTGTCGCAGAAGTTCGAAAAAGTTGCTCGCAAAAGCCCGTTTGACAGAAATGTTTAAAAAGTGTTGGGTTTCCTACGAATCCGCAAGAGCGCGCGGGATGAGATTTTGACATTTTTTTGTTGAAAAACCATTGGTTTTTTGATGTTTTTATGTTAAAATCGCTCCGAACACTAAGCTTTTGGAAGGATTTCGTCTTGCGCGCGCGAATGTCCACTTTACCTTATTTTTTGCAAGGGATTCTTGAAATTTGATTATATTAGAACAAGAAATGTCATTTTATAGTGTTTTTTGCAAGGGAAAGCGGGGGGGAACAAAACAACCGGATCTTGATCACATCGAATTACCTGAGGCTTCCTCACGAAAATGATGAAAATGTAGCTGCGGCCTAGGCGGCGCAGGGGGGCCGTGCACCAGGGGTCCCAACAATAATTATTCTTTAGAATTAATAATGTTCAACAACACCACCAACAACAACAACAGCAACAGCAGCAGCAGCAGCAGCAGCAGCAACAACAACAACAACAACAAGAATCCGCACCGCGGAATCCCACTTCAGCCATGCACCCAGGGACAATGAATGACCGTTCGGCCCCCTCACTCTGATCTTGTCGAAGGTGGTGTCATCGGCGCGCCTCGTGGTAGCGCTGTAGACCGGAGAGTAGCTACCGTAGTAGGCGACTATGGTCGTCCAAGTCCTGGGTCTGGTGGACCTCGCTGCGGGTGCCGTCGTAGGAACCCACGGTGGTAATGAGGAATCGCGTTCGTGGTCTGGCGTCTCCTGGTAGCCTTGCGCCGTACCTCAGCGTGGCCGCTGTAGCTGTGAGAGTGCCGCAGGCGTTGCGGCGTGCCCGGGTAGTCCGTCAGCGGAGTCCGTGGAAATCCCCTTCAGGCTGTGGCTCCTCCGCCGGCTGTGGCATGAGGCCACGGCGTGACTGCGGCCTGTATTGATGGCCGCCGCGATAGCATGTGGGAGTACGCATGTTCTGGCATTATACGCCACGGTGCCCCGCACTATCCACTGCCTGCAGGTGATGGCCAGGTGTTGATCGCAGCGTATTGGCGGCGCGCTGAGAGTCACCCTCCTGCGCGCCGTACCAGCTCCTCGTGTCATCGGACGGGTCCTCCTCGTCTTTGCAGCCCTCTTCGTCTCCATCCTCGTGTTCTTCGTTCTGGTACTCCTCGTTCTCGTCCTCTTGGAGCTCATCGCCTGGCTGTAGCCCGCTTTCTAGCTACAACTACAATTAATCAAATCTCTATGTTGTTCCCGATTGTGGTTCCCCTTCCGGCTCTGATAAACCTTGTGGCTGTACGTACTCAGTATTGTGGCTGTAGCCCTCGCTCTGGTTGAGACCTTCTTGTGGCAGAAGCGATCGGTTTGGCTGTGGCTGTAGCTTCTATTATGGTTGTAGATTTCCTTTGTGGTGTAACACTCACGGATGTAGCTTCCCTCCAACTGGGGTCTCTATCCTTTCGGCCGTCGCCCTCCTCGTCGCTGTAGCTCTTGTCCCAGTTGCAAGCTGTAGGTATCCCTCCTCTCCATTCGCCTACATATTTGCCGTCGTATCATCACGTCTTGTTTCTGTGGATGTATCCTCTTAGTTCTCATTTGCTGCCGTCATCCTTTCTCACGTACTCTTCTCTCGTTTTGGCAAGTGTGCCATGCTGGTGAACAGCGTCCCTTTCCGCCCACGGCTCCTCTGAATCCTGTGCCTGCCCAAATCGTCTTACGCATCCTCATCTCCGTACCTCCGACCTTGGTATTGGACGGAGTCACAACGGGCATGCGAGCCCCCGTGCTTTTTTATCCAGCCAGCCTTGATGTAGTCCGTCTCTTCGTCGACATGCTTGACCAGCGGAAAGTATACATCGTGACTATCGCCCACGGCGTTCTTGGCCACTGCATCCTCCCACCTCACTCTGTCCATTCCCCCTCCTGCCCTCCTCCACCTACACGTCTTCCTCTTCCGTTGCTCCCCTCTGAGCCAGCTCCTCAGATCCGAAGGAGGCTCCTGCTAAGGCGGGGCGGGCCTTGCAGAAGTCATCGACAACCCCCGTCCTGCCTGACCGTCCAGACCTGACTGACCCTTCAGACCTGCCTGACCAGAGCCACGTCCTCCTCCTCCACCTCCTCCACCTCCTCCTGTCGCCACCTCCTCCACCTCCTCCTGTCGCCACCTCCTCCTCCTCCTCCACCTCCTCCACCTCCTTCACCTCCTCCACCTCAACCTCCTCCAACTCCTCCTCCACCTCCTCCACCTCCTCCACCTCCTCCGCCTCCTCCTGTCGCCTGTCCACTCGCCCATGCTCTCGAGGCCCCGATCCCCGTGCGCCCCTCGCGAGGGCCGCGAGCGCCTGGGCGTGGGCGACGCCTCCGACCTGCGCGGACACTTCGCCGCGCACAGCTGCAGAGCAGGCTGCCCCTTGCGAAGGCCGCCCAAATGATGAATACCTACCAGACCACCCCAACCCAACCCGAAGACCCGAATTTCGGGTTTGGGGGGGGGGCACGGGCTTCATATTCGTCTTTTCAATGCTCCCCGACCCCCCCCCCCACTGGGACTGGAAGGCAAATTGGGGCCTTCGGGTTGGGTTGGGGTGGTTTGGCGGATGGTGAAAGAGGGGGCCGATGAGCAGGCGGGATCGGCGGATCGCGCGGCATCGCCGATGAAACGGCGGTGCATGGGCGACGTCGGCATAGAGATCGTAAGGGTCGCAATCGCGCCGCATCGCCGATGCCTCGGCCGTGCGGTGGGCGCAATCCTCCAACCCTGTCCGCCCCGGCCAAGTTTGAGCAGCCTGGGCCTTGCTGGCTGCCCGAAGACCATGCCGCTCGCCCTCCATGCCTCTCGTCACTGGGGGGCGGCGCTTGTCACCGGGGGGGCGCAGGAGGGCCTGCGCCAGTTGCCCTGCGGCTTAGCCACATAAAGCGACTGCGAAAGGCCAGATCTGCGTGCAACGGCCGGCCTTGGGAAGAGACGAAGGACACGGCGGCAGCAGCAGCACCGGCACCAGCACCAGCAGAGCAACAACAGCACTGGCGGGTGCGGGAGCATCAGCAAGAGAGGCAGCCGGGTGGGCAAGAGAATGCGGATGGGGACAAGGAGGGAACCAGCGGCGGCGGAGAAATAGCAGCAGCGGTCACTCGCACTCCCTGTACGGAGGTCTGCTCATGCTACTCTTACGGTTGCTGCTGCTCCACCTTCTCACATTCTTCTCGTCCTCCACCTCCTCCACCTGGCAGTCCACTTCTTACTCCCTGCTCCCATTTGTCTCGCAAGAGCCACTTGGGCTCCAGCTGAATCATCTCTTATGCCCGCAGAGCTGACGAGCAACGTTTTGGCTACCACACCCAATTACATGACATTGCTACTGTATCCGGTCTGCCACCAAGTGCACATCTCTCAGATCAGAAAAATTGGACAATCCGCTGGCCCTCTTGCGGGGCCACCAGGCTGCGAAGACTGGGCTTCAGCAACGAAGGTACCAGTCCTGAGCTCCTCGGCCCCCGTCACAGCTCCAGTGCCATTTCCAGTTTCCAGTCTCTAATGTTATCAATACATGTGTTGCTTGTTACTATAAACTGTTGCAGTCCGTGCGAGAAGGGGAGCCGAAAACCACCCCGGTTACCAGGGCTTCGAGGGGTTCTCAGCTTCCCCCGTAAGACACATACAAATACATGAGATTCGCGCCCCTGGGGACATACTCCTTCGTACAAATACTCCCGATTCGCGCCCCTAGGCCACGTGCCCTCGCAAATTCCGCCGGATTAGCACCCCCGCGGCCACGATCCGTCGCAAATTGCAAACGACTCGCGTCCCCGAATCCATTTTCCGTGAATTCACGAGATCGATCTGGGCCCCCGAAGCCACGATCGTTCGCAAATAGCTTCAGATTCGCGCCTCAAGGCCACACTCCCTTGCAAATTACGCTAGCTTCGCGCCCCCGAAGCCACGATGATTCCCTCCTCCGAGGCCATGACCCGCTGAACATTACACCAGGTTCGGACACTCGAGACCATTAGCCCTTGTAAATTATTGCGATTCGCGCCCCCGAGGCCATTTTCAGCCAGAAATGGTAACTTATAAATTACACCGCGTTCGCGTCCCCGAGGTCACGATCCCTCGCAAATTACTTCAGATTCGCGTCCCCGAGATCACGATCCCTTGTCAAGTACGCCAGATTCGCGCCCCCAACATGACAATCCTTATAACTTACCCCAGACTCGCGCCGCCGAGGCGACGATCCCTCGTGTATTACCCTAGAACCGTGCCCCCGAAGCTACGATTTCTTGTGCATGACGTCACGGCTACCCGCCATCCGCGTGCAAGAGGTTCCGATATGATTGCAAGACGGCGCCCAGGCATCCTAACATAGTTCTGGCGCATCCCATACTGATGGACAGGGGGCCTGCAGCAGAGGGCGAAGCACTGAGGATTTGATCGTGTCTTGAGACGCCTGCAACAAGTAAGGTGGGCTACGGTACGGACCGAGCGTCGATCGTCGACCTTGGGCCCGCCGGAGGTCGCCAGAGATCGCTCCAGCTCCCGCGAAGGGCGCGCGGAAGGGGCGCGCACCGCGCGGCGCAGCTTCGAGCCGAAGCGGCGCCTGCCGCCGGGCCGCCGAGGGCCTCCTTGGGGCGGCGGCGCAGAACTGGCACGCCCGAAATGGGCACGGGAGAGAGGGGGACGCACGATGCCCGACCGGCAACTGTTGTCCCAGGCCGCCAGCGGCCACAGCTGGGCAGGCGGCCTTCTGTCTCAAATGGACAGCGGTCGCGGCGGCACCGAATGCGACTCCGGATCAGAATGGGCAGGAACTGCTGTCGGCCTTCGTCACCATTCTTTCCGTACCCATGTCGATCGTGCGGGCCTGGGCGGGATCGAGACACGAAACCAGATGCCGAAAGACGTGGAACAAAAGCGATGGTGTTTCTTGCTTGACGTTGGAAGTCTGTCGGCGACTCCAAAGGGTGTGGCTTGCAAAGGGTGTGGTTTGCAACTGGCACCCTGGGGAACATCCTGGGGGGCACCCTGGGGGGGCGCGCGGGGACCTCGATAATAGAGTTCTGCCGCGCCCCGAGGAGGCCACACGAGGATAGTGTCGTGCCCCGCGGGCCCCAGCAGTGCCGATCGCAAAACACACCCCGAGGTAACCATAACCTTTGTAGTCGCCGAGTCTTGGCCGATCCCCTTCCCCCGGAGGGCTCCAGGCAACCTATCATGGACGGGGGTTCGACAGCGGCCCACGGATGCCGACATGGCAAAGACAGTGGATTGAACAAATAATATGTCGGATGAGGCAGGCCTGAGCTGGGTCGAGTCACGAAACTGGGTCGGATCAGAAACGGATCAGATCGCAAGTGGATCGTCCCGAATCGAAGCGAAATCGGATCGCCGCGCCTGGCTCTGACCCCAGCCGATGCTGGATCGAATCGCGCAGAATCGCGCAACGATAGCTCTGGAAGACCCCTCATACGTTCAGCGTCTTGACAAAAAAATCCTGGCGAAGGGCCCAACCATTTGCAATGGTGAGTATCGCCGTTGTGGGTATCGCCTTCGGTGAATCTCCTTATGGGGCCACGAAGCTTGTAAAAGGTGTACCGAAATAGAACGGGCCAGGGCCTTCAGCATCACCCCCCCCTTTGGGGCTGCGAGACGTCCGAGTGGTGTGCAGAAATTGAGCGGGTTCGCCATGCGAACGTCGCCATTGGGCCTTTGGTGGAGCTCCCTGTGGGGCCACGAAACGCGTAAAGGGTGCGTCGAAATGGGCGGGGCGGGGGGGACGCATGCGAACGTCGCCACTGGGGCCTTCGGTGGAGCCCCCTTGTGGCGCCAGGAAGTGCGTGAGAGGTGTGCCGAAATGGGCGGGGGACGCATGCGACCGTCGCCAGGCCTTCGGTGGAACTCCCTATGGGGCCATGGAGCGCTGTACTGGATGGGGCGGACGCATGCGAGCGTCGGCATTGGGGCCTTCGGTGGAACTCCGTATGGGGTAACGAAATTCTGCACTGGGTGGGGTGACCGCATGCGAACGTCGGCATCGGGGCCTTCGGTGGAGCTCCCTATGGGGCAACGAAGCGCTGTACTGGGTGTGGCGGACGCATGTGATCACAGCCGCCCATTGGGGCCACGCAGCTCTGTACTGGGTGGGGAGGGGAAGGGGGGGAGGAGGAAGATGAGGAAGCGCGGGGCGCTGTCTTTTAAAACGAGGACCCAACACCACAGGATGGTATGGAAAAAACAAGACGGGCAATCAAGGTTTCTTTGGCGGATTTCGCCCTCTTCCAGCCTCCTGGGGCACTCCCGTCCACGTTTGGAATCCCCTCAAGGTTCTGGTCAAAACGCACCCCGGCTTGCGTTTGGGGGTCGACTTTTAGACCCCCGGTCCGAACCCCCCCTCGCATCACGAACAAAAATTAGCCTGCCGAAGGACCCAACCATATGCCGTTGTGAGTAACGCAGTTGTGAATACCGTCTTCGGTGGAGCTCCCTATGGGGCCACGTACCGGGTGAGGGGTGTGCCGAAATGGGTGGCGGGGACGCATGCAAACTCCGCCACTGGGGCATTCGGTGGAGCTCCCTGGCCACAAAACGTGTGAGGGGTGTGCCGAATTGGGTGGCGGGGACGCATGCAAACTCCGCCACTGGGGCCTTCGGAAAGGCTCACTGTGGGGCCACGAAACGTGTGAGGGGTGCCGAAATGGGGCGGCGGCGCCATGCGGACCCTGCCACCGGGAGTGGGGCTCCCTATGGGGCCACGTACCGTGTGAGGGGTGTGCCGAAACGGAGCGGCGGCGCCATGCGGACCCTGCCACCGGGGCTTTCGGTGGGGCTCCCTGTCGGCCACGAACCGTGTGAAGGGTGTGCCGAAACGGAGCGGCGGCGCCACGCGGATCCTGCCACTGGGGCCTTCAGTGGGGCTTCCTATTGGGCCACGACCCGTGTGAAGGGTGTGCTGAAATGGGGCGGCGGCGCCATCCGGACCCTGCCACAGGGGCTTTCGTGAAGGCTCCCTATGGGGCCACGAACCGTGTGATGGGTGTGCCGAAATGGACATGCGGAGAACCGAGACAGGGATGGGAGGAGAGGCACGGATGGGAGATGAGGGGGGAGGGGGCAGCGGGAGGAGTGAACGCCGGGCGCTGTCTCTTCAAAACGAGGACCCAACATCACAGGATGGTTGGGAACAGATGGAAACTCCACCACGTGGGGCTCGGACGTGGCCGACCCGTCCACCTGCGACGCGGCCGCGGGCGCTGCGTCGGCGCTGGCACACGACGTCGCGTCGGCATCCGAGCGCACCCCTGGCTCGGAGGACGGGGGGGCACTGGGCGTGACGAGGGCGCAATCGGCGGGGGGCGCACTCGACGGACGCTCACCCGACGGGGGCGCACTCGACAAGGGCGCACTCGACGGGGGCGCACTCGGACTCGATGATGTTTCGTCGGGGGCGGGGCTCGCAGAAACGCTGGACTAGGCATTGCAGCTGGCCCCGGAAGGGAGACCAGCGGCGAGAGGCGCTTTGCCAGTACGGCCTGACGGACGAGGGAGAGGAGGAAGATGAGGATTGAGGGGCACTGTGCATGAGGATGATGATGAGCAGGAGGGTGGAATACTTAATTTTTCATAGTCCCCATCATCACCAAGAGCCATCACAGCCATCGTCATCACCACGATCACCATCACCATCATCAGCATCATCTTCATCATTTTCATCTGCATTAACAGTGGGGAAACTCAGTCGGCACGCCAAGACCAAAGCTACCGGCAGCCTGCTCAAGGGTCTCAGCGTCCGCGTTTTCGCGGACGATGGCCTTGCCCGCCGCGGCCCCCCTCTCCGAGCAACTGGCGCACCCGTTACTATCAAGCCATCGCCACAGCCATGCCCTTCCAGTTGTTTCCAGTCGGGGTCATTTTTTGACCGCTCCAGGGGGAACAGATCTGTCCACTCCTGTGCTTCAAGCAACGCCTTCCGCCAAGGAGAAGCTGGCCCAGCAGGAGCTAGCATCCTGCGGGCCAGGACGAAGTAGACGTTCGAAAGAACAGCGGGTTTCCTCGCTACGCGTAGCCTCCCTCTCTTTGCCTTTGGCTCAGGGCCGCCTGCGGCCTCTGAAATACTTTTTTGAGGTGGGCGGGCGAGGCCATAGCACGAGCCCGCTCCCCTCCGGGCCGCCTGGCTCGGGTCCTTTCATTCCCGACCCCCCCCGCGCCACCTCTCACGAGGCGTGGGGGCGGCGGCCCGGGCCTGACCGGGCTCTGCTCGGCGCCGCTGCGCGGCGCCTTCGCGGCGAGGAGCGCCGTGGCGGCGAGGCGCCAGGAGGCCTCCAGCGTGGCGCCGCGGTGACGAGCAGAGGAGCAGCACGGGAGGCTTAAGGAGGCTCAGCGAAGAGGATGAGGCCTGCTCACGGCCTGGAATGCACCCTGGCTCTGGCCATGGGTGCATTGGCGACATGGTTCGACGTCTCGTTCGGGGTCAACTGGTACGCCACGGTCCATGCGTCCGCCACTATGACCGGACCCGAAGAAGGAGGTCATGAGCGCGCAGGGCCGGGCGATGAAGAAGAGGAGGAGCGGCCGGACCAGCCCGACAACGAGGGCGAGGCCAGCTGCTCAGACGCGGGCGGAGACGAGCTGCCAGCGGTCGCGGCGCCCGAAGGGCCACCTCTACCTGCGGCGTTCCCCGCGCCTGCCGAGCCCCTGGCCACGGACCCGCCGCCAGCCATGGCCGGTCAGGGCGGGCGCTCTGCCCATAGCGGTCAGCGTTCCAGCGAGCACGACTACTACGGTGACTACTGCGACGCCGCTGCCCCGCACTTGGAGGCGAAGCCGCGCGAGAAGGCCAGCCCAGAGGCGGCGCCCGCGCCCCTGCCGCCAGTCTCCGAGGCCAGCGCCGCGGAGAGGAGTGGAGCACCCCTGGCCGGAGGCGCGGGGGTGGGGAGAGGGGCCCCAGAGGGACCCCCCCCCCGCCGCCCGAGGAGCCCCCGAGCGTGGGCAACTCGACACGGGAGGAGAAGGCTACCCAGGCCGCGCCAGGCCCTCCCCCCAGCACTGCCGCATCAGCATCGCTCATCGGATTGGCTCGGGTCAGCGCGTGGGTTGAGATGGTGCTGATGCGGCTCGGTGATTAGCTAGGCCACGCCCTGGGCGCGCTGTTGCATCAGCTGATCACCTTCCTCATAGGCTTGGTCGACGCATTCTGGGCTAGACTACAGTGGGCAGCCATGGGACTCGTGGCCATGGTGATGGCTACGGTGCTCGGGTCGGCGCTGGGTTTCCTGGCTTGGTTCGTGCGCGCGGCGTGGGCGTGCACCTCGGTCCTCGTCTGGGCGCTGAAGGGGTTCGCGGGTGGCAGCAAAACGGGGCACGACGTCATGGTAGCTCTGGACGGCGACCCCACGGCCGCGCATGTATGGCATGGGCCCAGCGAGGCGAAGGCGGTGGATGAAGACTACATCAGGAGTGAGGTTCGGGCGCGTGGAGGAACTGAGAAGATGATGCCCACTGACCTCGTCGTCAAGTCTGGCGGCTCCGTCGCGCGGCTCGAACAGGGGCCCCTCAAGGGCGGCCGCATCACTCGTCACGGGCACGTCTATAAGTTCAGGGGACGTGAAGGGCAGCTCTCACCGCCACTTGAAGACCGACCTGGAGGCTACTAGGGATGACGAGGGCATCGGCCAGGTCCACCTGCGCGCGGCCTCACCTTGCGCCCTCCCCGAGGGCGACCGGCCGATGGTGCACGTCAGCTCGTCGCGCGTGGTAAACCACAGCTCGCGAGTCAACGCGCCAAGACCTGGCCAAGCTCACCCGAGCGGAACGGGCGAGGGCAGGGGGTCAAATGCGCTGCGCCTGGGAGTGCCGCGGGGCGGGGCGAGCGTGCTGCAAGGCGTTCGGCTGTTGCGCGAAGAGGCGGTGGAGGCGCCCGAAACCTGGGCGAGATTGA